AGCCACTCCTGCTGCAGTTATAATATAGCCGCACCGTAGCTCTACAGCATTAAAAATTAATGAGAACTCTAAATATATAATATAGGACATACAAAAAGAATTATAAAAATTCGCGTGAAAGAACATATAGCCGACGTGAAGCACCGACGCTCCGGGAAATCTGCTGCAGTCTGTGAACATATTCAAGATCGTCGCCACCATTACATTAAATTTGATAAACTACAAATCCTCGCAAAAGAACATCGATTCTAACCAAGGATGATACGCGAAGCTATTGAAATTAAAAACATCCTAATTTCAATAGAGAAGATGTATGGGTGTTGCCATCTGCTTGGGATCCTATAATTAACAAAATCCAAACCCAAACATACCACTGCAAGACTTCAAGATACTGTAAGCTCGTTCTGCATAGATTGGCTTCGTTCAATTTTTTGAAAAAATATTATTCAAAAACTGAACATTTGGACATCAAACATCGTCGGAAATTAAAAAAATAAGTTAATTTAACGTGATATTTTATCGTGTAAATAGTTTTATTCAGAGCACCATAAATGTTGAGTACAATTGACAAACGTGGGGTAGAATATAAAAGCTCATTCATTTTTACATGCGTACACACACACACTTTTGGTTTATATTGTGTGTATGTGTACACACACACAATATAAACGAATGACGCTGTGAAACCCATTTTGTCATTTCTATTGTGTTACATGTTCTTTTATAACTGGCACGTGCTATTCACGGAAAGCTATTAATATAAACGAAATATATGACGGCAATATAAGAGGCATAATTTATATTAAATTCCAAAATTAAACTAAGAGGTCGATGAAACAATAAGACCTTCATTTTGCTTGTTTTTCGCAATTAATTAGTGTCCCACCGCTGTGACTACGAGACTCAAAGGTCGTGAATTCAAATCCGCTGTCATGACGTACTCGTAATTCTACTTCATAAGTCCATAAATTCTATAGCTGGAAATAAACGCCGCCTGTTTTTAACCCCCTACTATATTCTTTGAGGCACCATTGTTATAGCGAGGATTAGCCATAAGCATCACCCTTAGGATGTTGAGTGACGATCGCAGGACCAGATACTTTGCAACTTTGACATTACTTTACATTAACGGATTGTGGTTTTTTAAGCCTAAAGCAAACAAGATAATCACAACAGTTTATCGAAAACCAAAAAAATTTGAGCGTTTCACATCACCTCCACTAACACTCACGGAACGAAATAGAGTGGTTATAACGTTTAGACCCCACGCAATTACCTGGTGATATACATTGCATATATGCGATGCAGCATGATGAATCATTAAAATATGCGCGTACATGCGTATTATTAATAAACGTAATCAAAGTATGTTGCATTTTGTCAAACGCCACAATGACAAACAGAACGGAAGGCTGTCTAACAAACAATTCCAGTCCAGTACTTCGTAATGTTATATTATAAGTTGTAACGTTACACATAAGTTCTTTGTCCTTAATCTTTCAATAAAGAAATTTTATTGCGTCCTTAAAGTTCATAAATTATATGCTAATAGGATGATAAAAGTCAATATTTTAAAATTTTGAATTCAATTTAACCAATTTAGTCATCACCCAAGAGCCGCCTCGCATTATCCAGAATCAGAAACTTGGAAAATTAACATAAGAAATTAAATTTCGTTTGTCAAACTTCTATGTCCATTTTATTGTTAACGGAGAATAATTGTCGTAAGGCTACGTGTAAGTACCACGCTGTAGCTACAATATTGTAGCATGAATAAGTCACTTGATCGTCGAAGGACGACGTTCGCACAGAATACCAGCGTACCACTAACCTGACACCTTATATTCCGGTCACGAGGCATTTTACCTTAGTCCTTAAAGGTGACTATGCGTCTATCTGAAACGTTTGGGTGTCCATCGGCTACAGTATCCACTTACCATAAGTGTACTGAACTAATGAGCTTTATTTACTTTAAAATGTATAAGTTAAGTAACAAGTAAACTAAAGTAAGTGAAGTGTACGTTCACTAGTCACTTAAATTTTTTAAACAAGCATTTGGCTAATTTGATATTTTTTAAGAATTTTTGCCTAAGCAATAAATTTGATTAGAAAATTGAATAGAAACACGGTTCTGTGGAAATATAAAATGATTTATACAATTTGAGTCCAATATTAAGCCTACATAGCACAACACCCGAACTAGGTCAGTGAAGGATCGCTATCAAGTCGTTTTCCGGACATCGATCTCGCGGCTTTTAACCACTGAAGGCAACCCAGCTTTTTGATTTATTTTCTGCCACAAAGCTCTCTACTCAAGGAGTTGATAATAAGTCGGCAGGAATTATTTTATCCTCTCCATAAAATACCTTTTCTTTTTATTTGTTTCTCTTTCTTTTTTAAAATAAAACGTTACCTAAAATAGTGGTTGTCGTAAATGAAAATACAACTGCGAGTCATATTTACGGTGCCGGCTACCCGTCCAGCCGGCGCCCGCTGTGACACAGTTTTTGTTTATTACAGGGATTCGAACCCGACACCTCACGGTCAGCAATCACGTTCTTGTCAAATAGACCAACAAAGCAGGTAGTTACTAATATTTTTGCCGCACGTGACTATCGATTATATAATTAATTTGTTATATAATCGATAATAATTATATAATCGATAATAATAACTATTATTAATAATTTAATTAAATTGATATTAATATTAAGGTAATAAATATTTAAAAAAAGTTATAGTAAGTACACAAATGTTACGCGTAGTACGTGCCGGTTACCGTATCGGAAGCAAATTACACCGGCCTATTTCAAGCGGGTAATTTCAGAGTTTCATTATATTTGGAATAACTACCAGACACGCAGTCTCTGCCGGTTACATGTTTATTTATGTTGCATTTATTACTGTGGCTCTTACATACCCTTTCATTATTTATATTGAGATAATTTAAAAGAATAATGTAAATTTGACGTATTTATTTTAATTTTTATATAGAATAACACAGTCCACTTGATGGTAAGTGGATGATGTGCTCTATAGTAATCTACGATCAAGATTTTAATTAAAGATTAAATCCTCGTTTCCAGTAATAAGGGTATCGGTTCTCTACACTCACTAAATTATTACGCTGCATTATGCTGCTATTTTACGCTGGTATTCTGTGAGACCGTGACTCTTCCCCGGTAGAGTTGACCCGTTTGTTCTACAAATATAATAAATATGCAGTGTGGCTCTACTACGTAAAACTATATGTTTTATTACGATTACTACAGAGAGAATATCTCGTGTAAGGGCGATTTAAACGAACCCACTACCTTATATTATTCCGTGGGGGTCGTAAGAAGTAGCATAGACTATGAAACATAAAATGTTGTTCCACCCACCAGTCAATCGTGACGACCATGGAAAATGGCCAAATTATATGTTAATAAGACATCTGTTCAGCAGTGAAAGCCTGATTTTGATGAGCTGTAATTAATGAAATGAAAGAGAAAATGTGTGAAATAGAATGCCAGCGAAAATGAAATTGTTAATTTCAATTATTGTAAATTGCTGATTTATCAAATACGCGGAAATGAAGAAAAATTCGTAAGGTAATTCGAATATCTGAGAAATATTTCATTTTAGGAATTTTTCACAAGTGGAGTTTGACAAAATCCACCGAAGTATTGGTGCGAAACTAATTCTTCACCTATCGGAAATGAGAGGAGGCCTATGCCCAACAGTGGGAAGTATAAAGTCTGTAACGTTACTTTACAAATGAAAAACCATATTAACATGATTTACATACTAATCGAGTTTTTATAGCTGTTTTAAATAATAATAATAATAATAAAAAGGCGTAGGGAAGTGACGGCCCCATCGCCCGCTGACGTGGCGGTTATGTGACAAAACTGCGACGTCGGCGCAGTCAGTCGGCATCCTGCCAGGAGGTGTGAGCGCCGTGCCTAGGCAAAATTGTAGATGCAAGGGTCCGTTTGTGCATATGACCCAACCACGAAACGGTGCCGGGCTTGGGCGTCTCCTGTTATTTGGCGCCCATAAAATGGATGATGGAAGAAACACAAAAAGGAATGCGCATAGGGCCGCTGCCTGGGGGTCGCCGGGGCGCGTCTGGAGCTGGCGCTGGACGCGGCAGCATGCGGGCCGCCAGCCGAGCCCCTCGCATCCATCATCCCCACCAGAAGGCTTGGTGTCGGCTGGGTCTTCTCGGAACCAGCAAGCGGCACCCGCCGCTGGTGGAGCACGTCGCATGCGTTGGACAAAATTCATGAACGAAAATGCATTGCGGGCGTACTATAGGGCGAAAGGGGAAGAAACTGTGGGAATAGCGTATAGGTCTCGGATGCATTGCTTTTTTGCTGAGCTGGAGCCGTCTATCCCCGTCACGGAACAAAACCTGGCAGACCGAGTTCGGTACATCATGCGCTCGAAAATATTTGATGATGCCGAACTCGAACGACTACGACGTGAGGCTATTCCGTCGTCGAATGAATCGGCTATGGCTGGAGATGCAGCTCCACATTCGACAGACCAGCATCCACACGTGGAAACCGCCATGGATCTTCCAGTTGTGGTTGATTCGAACGACGATGAAATAGTCTCCCACGAACTAGAGCAAATGAGGAGTATATTGGAAGAGGCGATTTTGGAAACGCGCAGCACCCCTCTAGAAAATCGACCGCGACTTCCCCCGCATACCCTTAAGCAAGCGAAATCGGGCTGTCGGGAGGGCTCTTAACCCAACGCTGGTGACCTATTTGGAAACCAGCCGGGACCTTTGCGAGACGGACTCGATTCTCTTTGGCGCCGCAGTGGCAGTTTGCCGTATTATTGGCGCCAAACTTCCCATGGCTGGACGCGCTACTACACAAAGTAACGCCATCCCAGCCTGGAGGAAAAGAATCGAGGACCGTATCGCAAAGGCAAGGGCCCTTATCGGCAGACTGACAAGCTTCAGGTCGGGTAATAATAGACCGAGGATTATGCGCACCGTTAGCATGGCGTTTGCTGGGACAAATATCAGTTTGTCCCAGCCGGATATCACGCAGAAACTAACGGAGCGCATAGACGACCTGAAGCAAAAGATCGCTGCTTGGGGGAAGCGGATTCGACGATTTTCCGAGGGGTCAAGGCGGTTCAACCAGAATCGTCTCTTCCAGAGTGATCAGAAGAGGCTCTATAAATTATTGGAGCGACCAAAGGTATGTGGAGCGGGCCAAGGACCGGATCAGGCTGACATTATCGCATTCTGGCGTGGCCTGTGGTCAGAGCCCGTAAACCACAGCGAGGGCCCTTGGATGGAAGTTGTGGCGAGCCAGGGTGCGAGTGTTACGCCTATGGACCCCATCACCATAACGCCAGAAGACGTGGCTGAGGCGGTCCGTAGGGCCCCGAACTGGAAAAGTCCAGGGCTCGACGGGCTGCATCATTACTGGCTGAAGGGGTTCGTAGTGTGTCACGCTGTGCTCGCCCGACAGTTTCAAGAGGCTCTCGACCAGAAGTCACTCCCGAGCCTCTTCACTACTGGGATCACTCACTTGGTTCTTAAAGATCAGGATACCACAGACCAGAGCAAATACCGCCCCATCACGTGTCTACCCACCATATATAAGACACTGACATCCATTTTGAGCGCGAGAATCACTCGTCACCTGGAGCTAAACCAGGTGATGTCACGCGCTCAAAATGGATGTCGGGGCGGTGGTCGTGGAACTAAGGAACCACTCCTCATTGACGCGGTCATAGGCAAAGTGGTGAAACGCAACCGTCGGGACTTCTCTGCCGCCTGGATAAACTACAGAAAGGCATTCGACTCGGTGCCCCATACATGGCTAAAGAGGGTCCTCGAGCTGTACAAGATTGACTGTACAGTTAGAGACTTCCTCGAGCAGTGTATGGGGCAGTGGAGTACGATCCTTTGTCATCTGGGCGAGCGGATGACGGCTGCGGAGAACCACATAAGGATAAGAAGGGGTATCTTCCAGGGCGATTGTCTGAGTCCAATCTGGTTCTGCCTCTCTCTTAACCCTCTCAGTACCTTACTGGAGGGCTCCGGGAGGGGATTTCAGCTACGGAAAGGAGGGACAAAAGTGACCCACCTTTTCTATATGGATGACCTCAAGTTATTCGCCTCCAGTCGCTCCCATCTTATGGAACTGCTAAACATCACTTGTGAATTTAGCAGTTCCATTGGAATGGAGCGCGGGGACGGATAAGTGTGCGGTCCTCCATGTTGAAAGGGGAAGGGTTGCTAACTCTGAGAGCATAGACTTGTCTATGCCCGTCAACTTAAGGACCCTTTCCGAGGCTGAATCATACCGATACCTGGGTATGTCACAGAACATCGGTATCGATGAGGCTGGTATGAAACAGTCAGTTTGCGACGTGTTTTATGCACGCTTGACCAAAGTGCTTAACAGCCTTTTGTCCGGTGTGAATAAGACACACGCATATAACGCCTGGGTCATGCCTGTCCTCATGTATACCTTTGGCATACTCATGTGGACTCAGACTGAGCTTAACGCCCTGGATAGAAAAGTCCGCACTACCATGACGTCCCATAGGATGCATCATCCGAGATCGTCGGTAATGAGGCTGTACTTGCCGCGAAAGCATGGTGGCCGTGGCTTCTTGAGCGCGCTCACCATGCATAATCGCGAAATGTGCAGTCTCCGTCAGTACTTCTTGGCGAGATCGGATGATTCATTCTATAATGACGTCATTTCTAGTGATAAAGGGCTTACCCCTCTATCCTTAGCCAACGAGCAATGGCAGGACCCAGCAGTGCTTAGCAATTCCGACCGGGAGACCGTATGGAAGGAGAAGGAGCTCCACGGGAGGTACTACAAGGCTCTACATGGGCCCTTCGTAGATAAAGTCGCCTCCCTCAACTGGCTACGTTTCGGTGACCTCTTCGGGGAAACCGAGGGTTTTGTCTGTGCAATACAGGATCAGGTTATTAAGACCAACAACTATCGGAGATACATCCTAAAGGATGGCACCGTCGACATCTGTCGAGCTTGTCGCCATCCCGGGGAGTCACTTAGGCATGTCATCTCCGGTTGTTCGGCGCTTTCTAACTCTGAGTACTTGCACAGGCACAACCTAGTAGCCAGAATTCTACACCAGGAGCTCGCTCTGAAATACGATCTCGTGGACCGGAAATTGCCGTATTACAAGTACTTGCCGGAAGCCGTGCTCGAAAATGACCGCGCCAGACTCTACTGGGACCGGGCCATCATCACAGACAGGACTATTCTTGCGAATAAGCCTGATATTGTGCTGATGGACCGGGCACAGTAAAGGATATTTTTGGTCGATATTACCATCCCGTATGACGAGAACCTCGTGAGAGCCGAAACAGATAAGCAATCAAAATATCCGGAACTGGCTCACGAGGTGACGGACATGTGGGGTGGTCTGCCGGCCGAAATCATTCCTGTAGTCGTCTCTGCGAATGGGCTAATCCCAGTTAGCCTCTCTGGTTATCTGAGGCGACTGGGACTCCGTGAAGGACCGCTCCGGGCTCAAATGCAGAAGGCGGTGCTCCTTGATACTGCCCGCATCGTCCGCCGATTTCTTTCCCTTTCTCCCTAACCCTTGGCCGTTTGGTCTCCCCTGCCGAGGGCTTCCATCTGGTTGGGCTTTTATTTATTTATGTATTTTTGTATTTATTTTATTTTATTGATATTTATGTATATTTTTCCTTTCATTTTCGTTTATAATTATATATTTATACATCCCAACCAGATGAGAAAACTATATAGATACCCCACACATAATAATAATAATAGCGCAAGGGGCGCGGGGGGGATAATAATAATAACCCCACCAGAAGGCTTGGTGTCGGCTGGGTCTTCTCGGACTCAGCAAGCGGCACCCGCCGCTGGTGGAGCACGTCGCATGCGTTGGTCTAAATCAATGAATGAAAACGCACTGCGGGCGTATTTTAGGGCAAAAGGGGGAAAAACTGGATGTTTGGCGTATCGGGCTCGGATGCATCGCTTTTTTGCAGAGCTGGAGCCATCTCTATCCGTCACTGAGCAAAACCTGGCAGACCGAGTTAGGTACATCCTGCGCTCCAACATATTTGGTGACGCCGAACTCGAGCGACTACGACGTGAGGCTATTCCTTCATCGAATGGAAATGCTACGGCTGGGAATGCGGCGCCACTAGATGCGCAACAAACTGCATATGTGGATGCTGCCATCAACATTCCATTTGTGGCTAATTCAGACGATGATGGAATAGCCTCCCACGAACTAGAGAAAATGAGGAGCATATTGGAAGAGTCGATGCTGGAAACGCGCAGCATGCCTCTCGAAAATCGACCGCGACTTCCCCGCATACCCCTTAGCAAGCGAAATCGGGCTGTCGTGCGGGCTCTTAACCCAATGCTGGTGACCTATTTGGAAGCCAGCCGGGACCTTTGCGAGACGGATTCAATTCTTTTTGGCGCCGCACTGGCAGTATGCCGTATTATTGGCGCCAAACTTCCCGTGGCTGGACGTGCTACTCAAAAAAGTAGCGCCATCCCAGCCTGGAGAAAAAGAATTGAGGACCGTATCGCAAAGGCAAGGGCCCTTATCGGCAGACTGACAAGCTTCAGGTCGGGTAATAATAGACCGAGGATTATGCGCACCGTTAGGATGGCGTTTGCTGGGACAAATATCAGTTTGTTCCAGCCGGATATCACGCAAAAACTAACGGAGCGCATAGATGACCTGAAGCAAAAAATCGCTGCTTGGGGGAAGCGGATTCGACGATTTAGCGAGAGGTCAAGGCGGTTCAACCAGAATCGTCTCTTCCAGAGTGATCAGAAGAGGCTCTATAAATCATTGGAGCGACCAGAGGTATGTGGAGCGGGCCCAGGACCGGATCAGGCTGACACTGTCGCATTTTGGCGTGGCCTGTGGTCAGAGCCCGTAAACCACAGCGAGGGCCCTTGGATGGAAGTTGTGGCGAGCCAGAGTGCAAGTGTTACGCCTATGGACCCCGTCACCATAACGCCTGAAGACGTGGCTGAGGCGGTCCGTAGGGCCCCGAACTGGAAAAGTCCGGGGCTCGACGGGCTGCATCACTACTGGCTGAAGGGGTTCATGGTGTGTCACTCTGTGCTCGCCCGACAGTTTCAAGAGGCTCTCAACCAGAAGTCGCTCCCAAGCCTCTTCACTACTGGGATCACTCATTTGGTTCCTAAAGACCAGGGTACCACAGACCCGAGCAAATACCGCCCCATCACGTGTCTACCGACCATATACAAGACACTAACATCCATTTTGAGCGCGAGAATCACTCGTCACCTGGACTCAAATCAGGTGATGTCGCGCGCTCAAAATGGATGTCGGGGCGGTGGTCGTGGAACCAAGGAACCACTCCTCATTGACGCTGTCATTGGCAAAGTGGTGAAACGCAACCGTCGGAACTTCTCCGCCGCCTGGATAGACTACAGAAAGGCATTCGACTCGGTGCCCCATACATGGCTAAAGAGAGTCCTCGAGCTGTACAAGATAGACTGTACAGTTAGAGACTTCCTCGAGCAGTGTATGGGGCAGTGGAGTACGATCCTTTGTCATCTGGGCGAGCGGATGATGCCTGCGGAGAACCACATAAGGATAAGAAGGGGTATCTTCCAGGGCGATTGTCTGAGTCCAATCTGGTTCTGCCTCTCTCTGAACCCTCTCAGTACCTTACTGGAGGGCTCCGGGAGGGGGATTTCAGCTACGGAGAGGAGGGACAAAAGTGACCCACCTTTTCTATATGGATGACCTCAAGTTATTCGCCTCCAGTCGCTCCCATCTTATGGAATTGCTAAACATCACTTGTGAATTTAGCAATTCCATTGGAATGGAGCTTGGGACGGATAAGTGTGCGGTCCTCCATGTTGAAAGGGGAAGGGTTGCTAACTCTGAGGGCGTAGACTTATCTATGCCCGTCAACTTAAGGACCCTTTCCGAGGCTGAAACATACCGATACCTGGGTATGTCACAAAACATCGGTATCGATGAGACTGGTATGAAACAGTCAGTTTGCGACGTGTTTTATGCACGCTTGACAAAAGTGCTTAACAGCCTTTTGTCCGGTGTGAATAAGGCACACGCATATAACGGCTGGGTCATGCCTGTCCTCATGTATACCTTTGGCATACTCAGGTGGACTCAGACTGAACTTAACGCTCTGGATAGAAAAGTCCGCACTACCATGACGTCCCATAGGATGCATCATCCGAGATCGTCGGTAATGAGGCTGTACTTGTCGCGGAAGCATGGTGGTCGTGGCTTCTTGAGCGCGCTCACCATGCATAATCGCGAAGTGTGCAGCCTCCGTGATTACTTCCTGGCGAGATCGGATGATCCATTCTATATGGACGTCATTTCTTGTAATAAAGGACTTACCCCTCTATCCTTAGCCAACGAGCAATGGCAAGACCCGGCAGTGCAGAGCATTTCCGACCGAGAGACCGTATGGAAGGAGAAGGAGCTCCACGGGAGGTTCTACAAGGCTCTACATGAGCCTTTCGTAGACACAGTAGCCTCCCTCCACTGGCTACGCTTTGGTGATCTCTTCGGGGAAACCGAGGGTTTTGTCTGTGCAATACAGGATCAGGTTATTAAGACCAACAACTATCGGAGATACATCCTAAAGGATGGCACCGTCGACATCTGTCGAGCTCGTCGCCATCCCGGTGAGTCACTTAGGCATGTTATCTCCGGTTGTTCGGCGCTTTCTAACTCTGAGTACTTGCACAGGCACAACCTAGTAGCCAGAATTCTACACCAGGAGCTCGCTCTGAAATACGGTCTCGTGGACCGGAAATTGCCGTACTACAAGTACTTGCCGGAAGCCGTGCTCGAAAATGATCGCGCCAGGCTCTATTGGGACCGGGCCATCATCACAGACAGGACTATTCTTGCGAATAAGCCTGATATTGTGCTGATGGACCGGGCACAGTCAAGGATATTTTTGGTCGACATTACCATTCCGTATGACGAGAACCTCGTGAAAGCCGAAACAGACAAGCAAACAAAATATCTGGACCTGGCTCACGAGGTGACCGACATGTGGGGTGGTCTGCCGACCGAAATTATTCCTGTAGTCGTCTCTGCAAACGGGCTAATCCCAGTCAGCCTCTCGGGTCATCTGAGGCGGCTGGGAGTACGTGGCGGACCGCTCCAGGTTCAAATGCAGAAGGCGGTGGTCCTCGATACCGCCCGCATCGTCCACCGGTTTCTTTCCCTTTCCCCCTAACCCTCGGCCGTTTGGTCTCCCCTGCCGAGGGCCTCCATCTGGTTGGGCTTTTATTTATTTATGTACTTTTATATTTATTTTATGTTATTGATATTTATGTATATTTATTTTTTCATTTTCATTTATAATTATATATTTATAGAACCCAACCAGATGAGAAAACTATATAGATACCCCATAATAATAATAATAATAATAATAATATTTATGCGCACCGTTAGGATGGCGTTTGCTGGGACAAATATCAGTTTGTCCCAGCCGGATATCACGCAGAAACTAACGGAGCGCATAGACGACCTGAAGCAAAAGATCGCTGCTTGGGGGAAGCGGATTCGATGATTTTCCGAGGGGTCAAGGCGGTTCAACCAGAATCGTCTCTTCCAGAGTGATCAGAAGAGGCTCTATAAATTATTGGAGCGACCAAAGGTATGTGGAGCGGGCCAAGGACCGGATAAGGCTGACATTATCGCATTCTGGCGTGGCCTGTGGTCAGAGCCCGTAAACCACAGTGAGGGCCCTTGGATGGAAGTTGTGGCGAGCCAGGGTGCGAGTGTTACGCCTATGGACCCCATCACCATAACGCCAGAAGACGTGGCTGAGGCGGTCCGTAGGGCCCCGAACTGGAAAAGTCCGGGGCTCGACGGGCTGCATCATTACTGGCTGAAGGGGTTCGTAGTGTGTCACGCTGTGCTCGCCCGACAGTTTCAAGAGGCTCTCGTACAGAAGTCACTCCCGAGCCTCTTCACTACTGGGATCACTCACTTGGTTCCTAAAGATCAGGATACTGCTTAACAGCCTTTTGTCCGGTGTGAATAAGACACACGCATATAACGGCTGGGTCATGCCTGTCCTCATGTATACCTTTGGCATACTCAGGTGGACTCAGACTGAGCTTAACGCCCTGGATAGAAAAGTCCGCACTACCATGACGTCCCATAGGATGCATCATCCGAGATCGTCGGTAATGAGGCTGTACTTGCCGCGGAAGTATGGTGGGCGTGGCTTTCTGAGCGCGCTCACCATGCATAATCGCGAAGTGTGCAGTCTCCGTCAGTACTTCTTGGCGAGATCGGATGATCCATTCTATAATGACGTCATTTCTAGTGATATAGGGCTTACCCCTCTATCCTTAGCCAACGAGCAATGGCAGGACCCAGCAGTGCTTAGCAATTCCGACCGGGAGACCGTATGGAAGGAGAAGGAGCTCCACGGGAGGTACTACAAGGCTCTACATGAGCCCTTCGTAGATACAGTCGCCTCCCCTCAACTGGCTTCGTTTCGGTGACCTCTTCGGGGAAACCGAGGGTTTTGTCTGTGCAATACAGGATCAGGTTATTAAGACCAACAACTATCGGAGATACATCCTAAAGGATGGCACCGTCGACGTCTGTCGAGCTTGTCGCCGTCCCGGGGAGTCACTTAGGCATGTCATCTCCGGTTGTTCGGCGCTTTCTAACTCTGAGTACTTGCACAGGCACAACCTAGTAGCCAGAATTCTACACCAGGAGCTCGCTCTGAAATACGGTCTCGTGGACCGGAAATTGCCGTATTACAAGTACTTGCCGGAAGCCGTGCTCGAAAATGACCGCGCCAGACTCTACTGGGACCGGGCCATCATCACAGACAGGACTATTCTTGCGAATAAGCCTGATATTGTGCTGATGGACCGGGCACAGTAAAGGATATTTTTGGTCGATATTACCATCCCGTATGACGAGAACCTCGTGAGAGCCGAAACAGATAAGCAATCAAAATATCCGGAACTGGCTCACGAGGTGACGGACATGTGGGGTGGTCTGCCGGCCGAAATCATTCCTGTAGTCGTCTCTGCGAATGGGCTAATCCCAGTTAGCCTCTCTGGTTATCTGAGGCGACTGGGACTCCGTGACGGACCGCTCCGGGCTCAAATGCAGAAGGCGGTGCTCCTTGATACTGCCCGCATCGTCCGCCGATTTCTTTCCCTTTCTTCCTAACCCTTGGCCGTTTGGTCTCCCCTGCCGAGGGCTTCCATCTGGTTGGGCTTTTTATTTATTTATGTATTTTTGTATTTATTTTATTTTATTGATATTTATGTATATTTTTCCTTTCATTTTTGTTTATAATTATATATTTATACATCCCAACCAGATGAGAAAACTATATAGATACCCCACACATAATAATAATAATAATAATAATAATAACCCCACCAGAAGGCTTGGTGTCGGCTGGGTCTTCTCGGACTCAGCAAGCGGCACCCGCCGCTGGTGGAGCACGTCGCATGCGTTGGTCTAAATCAATGAATGAAAACGCACTGCGGGCGTATTTTAGGGCAAAAGGGGAAGAAACTGGATGTTTGGCGTATCGGGCTCGGATGCATCGCTTTTTTGCAGAGCTGGAGCCATCTCTATCCGTCACTGAGCAAAACCTGGCAGACCGAGTTAGGTACATCCTGCGCTCCAACATATTTGGTGACGCCGAACTCGAGCGACTACGACGTGAGGCTATTCCTTCATCGAATGGAAATGCTACGGCTGGGAATGCGGCGCCACTAGATGCGCAACAAACTGCATATGTGGATGCTGACATCAACATTCCATTTGTGGCTAATTCAGACGATGATGGAATAGCCTCCCACGAACTAGAGAAAATGAGGAGCATATTGGAAGAGTCGATGCTGGAAACGCGCAGTATGCCTCTCGAAAATCGACCGCGACTTCCCCCGCATACCCCTTAGCAAGCGAAATCGGGCTGTCGTGCGGGCTCTTAACCCAATGCTGGTGACCTATTTGGAAACCAGCCGGGACCTTTGCGAGACGGATTCAATTCTTTTTGGCGCCGCACTGGCAGTATGCCGTATTATTGGCGCCAAACTTCCCGTGGCTGGACGTGCTACTCAAAAAAGTAGCGCCATCCCAGCCTGGAGAAAAAAGAATTGAGGACCGTATCGCAAAAAAGGGCCCCTTATCGGCAGACTGACAAGCTTCAGGTCGGGTAATAATAGACCGAGGATTATGCGCACCGTTAGGATGGCGTTTGCTGGGACAAATATCAGTTTGTTCCAGCCGGATATCACGCAAAAACTAACGGAGCGCATAGATGACCTGAAGCAAAAAGTCGCTGCTTGGGGGAAGCGGATTCGACGATTTAGCGAGAGGTCAAGGCGGTTCAACCAGAATCGTCTCTTCCAGAGTGATCAGAAGAGGCTCTATAAATCATTGGAGCGACCAGAGGTATGTGGAGCGGGCCCAGGACCGGTTCAGGCTGACACTGTCGCATTTTGGCGTGGCCTGTGGTCAGAGCCCGTAAACCACAGCGAGGGCCCTTGGATGGAAGTTGTGGCGAGCCAGAGTGCAAGTGTTACGCCTATGGACCCCGTCACCATAACGCCTGAAGACGTGGCTGAGGCGGTCCGTAGGGCCCCGAACTGGAAAAGTCCGGGGCTTGACGGGCTGCATCACTACTGGCTGAAGGGGTTCATGGTGTGTCACTCTGTGCTTGCCCGACAGTTTCAAGAGGCTCTCAACCAGAAGTCGCTCCCAAGCCTCTTCACTACTGGGATCACTCATTTGGTTCCTAAAGACCAGGGTACCACAGACCCGAGCAAATACCGCCCCATCACGTGTCTACCGACCATATACAAGACACTAACATCCATTTTGAGCGCGAGAATCACTTGTCACCTGGACTCAAATCAGGTGATGTCGCGCGCTCAAAATGGATGTCGGGGCGGTGGTCGTGGAACCAAGGAACCACTCCTCATTGACGCTGTCATTGGCAAAGTGGTGAAACGCAACCGTCGGAACTTCTCCGCCGCCTGGATAGACTACAGAAAGGCATTCGACTCGGTGCCCCATACATGGCTAAAGAGAGTCCTCGAGCTGTACAAGATAGACTGTACAGTTAGAGACTTCCTTGAGCAGTGTATGGGGCAGTGGAGTACGATCCTTTGTCATCTGGGCGAGCGGATGATGCCTGCGGAGAACCACATAAGGATAAGAAGGGGTATCTTCCAGGGCGATTGTCTGAGTCCAATCTGGTTCTGCCTCTCTCTGAACCCTCTTAGTACCTTACTGGAGGGCTCCGGGAGGGGGATTTCAGCTACGGAGAGGAGGGACAAAAGTGACCCACCTTTTCTATATGGATGACCTCAAGTTATTCGCCTCCAGTCGCTCCCATCTTATGGAATTGCTAAACATCACTTGTGAATTTAGCAATTCCATTGGAATGGAGCTTGGGACGGATAAGTGTGCGGTCCTCCATGTTGAAAGGGGAAGGGTTGCTAACTCTGAGGGCGTAGACTTATCTATGCCCGTCAACTTAAGGACCCTTTCCGAGGCTGAAACATACCGATACCTGGGTATGTCACAAAACATCGGTATCGATGAGACTGGTATGAAACAGTCAGTTTGCGACGTGTTTTATGCACGCTTGACAAAAGTGCTTAACAGCCTTTTGTCCGGTGTGAATAAGGCACACGCATATAACGGCTGGGTCATGCCTGTCCTCATGTATACCTTTGGCATACTCAGGTGGACTCAGACTGAACTTAACGCTCTGGATAGAAAAGTCCGCACTACCATGACGTCCCATAGGATGCATCATCCGAGATCGTCGGTAATGAGGTTGTACTTGTCGCGGAAGCATGGTGGTCGTGGCTTCTTGAGCGCGCTCACCATGCATAATCGCGAAGTGTGCAGCCTCCGTGATTACTTCCTGGCGAGATCGGATGATCCATTCTATATGGACGTCATTTCTTGTAATAAAGGACTTACCCCTCTATCCTTAGCCAACGAGCAATGGCAAGACCCGGCAGTGCAGAGCATTTCCGACCGAGAGACCGTATGGAAGGAGAAGGAGCTCCACGGGAGGTTCTACAAGGCTCTACATGAGCCTTTCGTAGACACAGTAGCCTCCCTCCACTGGCTACGCTTTGGTGATCTCTTCGGGGAAACCGAGGGTTTTGTCTGTGCAATACAGGATCAGGTTATTAAGACCAACAACTATCGGAGATACATCCTAAAGGATGGCACCGTCGACATCTGTCGAGCTCGTCGCCATCCCGGTGAGTCACTTAGGCATGTTATCTCCGGTTGTTCGGCGCTTTCTAACTCTGAGTACTTGCACAGGCACAACCTAGTAGCCAGAATTCTACACCAGGAGCTCGCTCTGAAATACGGTCTCGTGGACCGGAAATTGCCGTACTACAAGTACTTGCCGGAAACCGTGCTCGAAAATGATCGCGCCAGGCTCTATTGGGACCGGGCCATCATCACAGACAGGACTATTCTTGCGAATAAGCCTGATATTGTGCTGATGGACCGGGCACAGTCAAGGATATTTTTGGTCGACATTACCATTCCGTATGACGAGAACCTCGTGAAAGCCGAAACAGACAAGCAAACAAAATATCTGGACCTGGCTCACGAGGTGACCGACATGTGGGGTGGTCTGCCGACCGAAATTATTCCTGTAGTCGTCTCTGCAAACGGGCTAATCCCAGTCAGCCTCTCGGGTCATCTGAGGCGGCTGGGAGTACGTGGCGGACCGCTCCAGGTTCAAATGCAGAAGGCGGTGCTCCTCGATACCGCCCGCATCGTCCACCGGTTTCTTTCCCTTTCCCCCTAACCCTCGGCCGTTTGGTCTCCCCTGCCGAGGGCCTCCATCTGGTTGGGCTTTTATTTATTTATGTACTTTTATATTTATTTTATGTTATTGATATTTATGTATATTTATTTTTTCATTTTCATTTATAATTATATATTTATAGAACCCAACCAGATGAGAAAACTATATAGATACCCCATAATAATAATAATAATAATAATAATATTTATGCGCACCGTTAGGATGGCGTTTGCTGGGACAAATATCAGTTTGTCCCAGCCGGATATCACGCAGAAACTAACGGAGCGCATAGACGACCTGAAGCAAAAGATCGCTGCTTGGGGGAAGCGGATTCGATGATTTTCCGAGGGGTCAAGGCGGTTCAACCAGAATCGTCTCTTCCAGAGTGATCAGAAGAGGCTCTATAAATTATTGGAGCGACCAAAGGTATGTGGAGCGGGCCAAGGACCGGATAAGGCTGACATTATCGCATTCTGGCGTGGCCTGTGGTCAGAGCCCGTAAACCACAGTGAGGGCCCTTGGATGGAAGTTGTGGCGAGCCAGGGTGCGAGTGTTACGCCTATGGACCCCATCACCATAACGCCAGAAGACGTGGCTGAGGCGGTCCGTAGGGCCCCGAACTGGAAAAGTCCGGGGCTCGACGGGCTGCATCATTACTGGCTGAAGGGGTTCGTAGTGTGTCACGCTGTGCTCGCCCGACAGTTTCAAGAGGCTCTCGTACAGAAGTCACTCCCGAGCCTCTTCACTACTGGGATCACTCACTTGGTTCCTAAAGATCAGGATACTGCTTAACAGCCTTTTGTCCGGTGTGAATAAGACACACGCATATAACGGCTGGGTCATGCCTGTCCTCATGTATACCTTTGGCATACTCAGGTGGACTCAGACTGAGCTTAACGCCCTGGATAGAAAAGTCCGCACTACCATGACGTCCCATAGGATGCATCATCCGAGATCGTCGGTAATGAGGCTGTACTTGCCGCGGAAGTATGGTGGGCGTGGCTTTCTGAGCGCGCTCACCATGCATAATCGCGAAGTGTGCAGTCTCCGTCAGTACTTCTTGGCGAGATCGGATGATCCATTCTATAATGACGTCATTTCTAGTGATATAGGGCTTACCCCTCTATCCTTAGCCAACGAGCAATGGCAGGACCCAGCAGTGCTTAGCAATTCCGACCGGGAGACCGTATGGAAGGAGAAGGAGCTCCACGGGAGGTACTACAAGGCTCTACTTGAGCCCTTCGTAGATACAGTCGCCTCCCTCAACTGGCTTCGTTTCGGTGACCTCTTCGGGGAAACCGAGGGTTTTGTCTGTGCAATACAGGATCAGGTTATTAAGACCAACAACTATCGGAGATACATCCTAAAGGATGGCACTGTCGACGTCTGTCGAGCTTGTCGCCGTCCCGGGGAGTCACTTAGGCATGTCATCTCCGGTTGTTCGGCGCTTTCTAACTCTGAGTACTTGCACAGGCACAACCTAGTAGCCAGAATTCTACACCAGGAGCTCGCTCTGAAATACGGTCTCGTGGACCGGAAATTGCCGTATTACAAGTACTTGCCGGAAGCCGTGCTCGAAAATGACCGCGCCAGACTCTACTGGGACCGGGCCATCATCACAGACAGGACTATTCTTGCGAATAAGCCTGATATTGTGCTGATGGACCGGGCACAGTCAAGGATATTTTTGGTCGATATCACTATCCCGTATGACGAGAACCTCGTGAGAGCCGAAACACATAAGCAATCAAAATATCTGGACCTGGCTCACGAGGTGACGGACATGTGGGGTGGTCTGCCGGCCGAAATTATTCCTGTAGTCGTCTCTGCGAATGGGCTAATCCCAGTTAGCCTCTCTGGTCATCTGAGGCGACTGGGACTCCGTGACGGACCGCTCCGGGCTCAAATGCAGAAGGCGGTGCTCCTTGATACTGCCCGCATCGTCCGCCGGTTTCTTTCCCTTTCTTCCTAACCCTTGGCCGTTTGGTCTCCCCTGCCGAGGGCTTCCATCTGGTTGGGCTTTTATTTATTTATGTATTTTTGTATTTATTTTATTTTATTGATAATTATGTATATTTATCCTTATATATATATGTTTATAATTATATATTTATACATCCCAACCAGATGAGAAAACTATATAGATACCCCATTATAATAATAAATAAGGCGTAGGGAAGTGACGACCCCATCGCCCGCTGACGTAACGGTTATGTGACAAAACCGCTACGTCAGCGCAGACAGTCAGCACCTTGCCAAGAGGTTAGTGCCGTGCCTACGGCAAAAATTGAAGGTGCAAAGGCCCGCTTGTGCACATGGCCTCAACATGAAACGGCGCCGGGTCTGGGCGTCTCCCGCTAAATGACGCCCTACCAATGGATGATGGAATTAAATAGAACGCGCAAAGGGCCGCTGCCTGGAGGTCGCCAGGGCGCGTCTGGAGCTGGCGCTGGACGCGGCAGCATGCGAACCGCCAGCCGAGCGCGAGGTGCTGCACGACCACCCAGGAGCCCCTCGCATCCATCATCCCCACCAGCTGGCTTGGTGTCGGCAGGGTCTTCGCGGGCCCAGCAATCGGCACCCGCCTCTGGTGGAGTACGCCGCATGCGTTGGACAACCCAGATGAACAGCAACGCATTGCGGGCGTATTTTGGGGCGAAAGGGGGAGAAACTGGATGTTTGTCGTATCGGGCTAGGATGCATCGTCTTTTAGCTGAGCTGGAGCCATCTTTAACCGTCACAGAGCAAAACCTGGCAGACCGAGTTCGGTATATCTTGCGCTCAAATATATTTGATGTCGCCGAACTCGAACGGCTACGACGTGAGGCTGTTCCCTCGTCGGATGAGAATGCTACGGCTGAGGATGCGGCGCCACAAATGGTAGAGCAACCCGCAAACGTGGATGCCGCCGTGAATACCCCAGTTGTGGTTGATTCAAACGATGATGGAACAGTCGCCCAGGAACTGTAATTAGAGCATATGAGGAGTACATTGGAAGAGGCGATTGTGGAAACGCGCAGTACGCCTCTCGAAAATCGAACGCGACTTCCCCGCATAGCCCTAAGCAAGCGGAATCGGGCTGTCGTGAGGGCTCTGAACCCAATGCTGGTGACCTATTTGGAAGCCGACTTCCCCCGCTGTCAGTCTCTCTACGCAAAAGCTACTGGCCATAGTAGCGCTATCCCAGCATGGAGAAGAAGAATTGAGGAACGTATCGCAAAGGCTAGAGCTCTCATCGGCAGACTGATATGCTTCAGATCAGGCAACAACAGGCCAACAATTGTGCGCACCGACAGCATGGCGTTTGCTGGGACAAATGTCAGTTTGTCCCAGCCGGATATAACGCAAAAACTGACGGAGCGCATAGATGATCTGAAGCAGAGAATCGCTGCTTGGGGAAAGCGGATTCGGCGATATACCGAGAGGTCGACACGGTTCAACCAGAATCGTCTCTTCCAGAGTGATCAGAAGAGGCTCTATGAATCATTGGAGCGACCAATGGTAAGTGGAACGGGTCCAGCACCGAATCAGGCCGACACTGTAGCATTCTGGCGCGGCCTGTGGTCAGAGCCCGTAAACCACAGCGAGGGCCCTTGAACGGAAGTTGTGGCGAGTCAGTGTGCGGGTATTACGCCCATGGACCCCGTCATCATAACGCCGGATGACGTAGCTGAGGCGGTCCGCAGGGCCCCGAACTGGCAAAGTCCGGGGCTTGACGGGCTGCATCACTACTGGCTGAAGGCGTTCATGGTGTGTCACGCTGTGCTTGACCGACAGTTTCAAGAGGCTCTCAACCAGAAGTCGCTCCCAAGCCTCTTCACTACTGCGATCACTCATTTGGTTCCTAAAGACTAGGGTACCACAGACCCGAGCAAATACCGCCCCATCACGTGTCTACCGACCATATACAAGACACTAACATCCATTTTGAGCGCGAGAATCACTTGTCACCTGGACTCAAATCAGGTGATGTCGCGCGCTCAAAATGGATGTCGGGGCGGTGGTCGTGGAACCAAGGAACCACTCCTCATCGACGCGGTCATTGGCAAAGTGGTGAAACGCAACCGTCGGAACTTCTCCGCCGCCTGGATAGACTACAGAAAGGCATTCGACTCGGTGCCCCATCCATGGCTAAAGAGAGTCCTCGAGCTGTACAAGATAGACTGTACAGTTAGAGACTTCCTCGAGCAGTGTATGGGGCAGTGGAGTACGATCCTTTGTCATCTGGGCGAGCGGATGATGGCTGCGGAGAACCACATAAGGATAAGAAGGGGTATCTTCCAGGGCGGTTGTCTGAGTCCAATCTGGTTCTGCCTCTCTCTGAACCCTCTCAGTACCTTACTGGAGGGCTCCGGGAGGGGATTTCAGCTACGGAAAGGAGGGACAAAAGTGACCCACCTTTTCTATATGGATGACCTCAAGTTATTCGCCTCCAGTCGCTCCCATCTTATGGAATTGCTAAACATCACTTGTGAATTTAGCAATTCCATTGGAATGGAGCTTGGGACGGATAAGTGTGCGATCCTCCATGTTGAAAGGGGAAGGGTTGCTAACTCTGAGGGCGTAGACTTATCTATGCCCGTCAACTTAAGGACCATTTCCGAGGCTGAAACATACCGATACCTGGGTATGTCACAAAGCATCGGTATCGATGAGACTGGTACGAAACAGTCAGTTTGCGACGTGTTTTATGCACGCTTGACCAAAGTGCTTAACAGCCTTTTGTCCGGTGTGAATAAGGCACACGCATATAACGGCTGGGTCATGCCTGTCCTCATGTATACCTTTGGCATACTCAGGTGGACTCAGACTGAACTTAACGCCCTGGATAGAAAAGTCCGCACTACCATGACGTCCCATAGGATGCATCATCCGAGATCGTCGGTAATGAGGCTGTACTTGTCGCGGAAGCATGGTGGTCGTGGCTTCTTGAGCGCGCTCACCATGCATAATCGCAAAGTGTGCAGCCTCCGTGATTACTTCCTGGCGAGATCGGATGATCCATTCTATATGGACGTCATTTCTTGTGATAAAGGACTTACCCCTCTATCCTTAGCCAACGGGCAATGACAAGACCCGGCAGTGCAGAGCATTTCCGACCGAGAGACCGTATGGAAGGAGAAGGAGCTCCACGGGAGGTTCTACAAGGCTCTACATGAGCCTTTCGTAGACACAGTAGCCTCCCTCCACTGGCTACGCTTTGGTGATCTCTTCGGGGGAAACCGAGAGTTTTGTCTGTGCAATACAGGATCAGGTTATTAAGACCAACAACTATCGGAGATACATCCTAAGGGATGGCACCGTCGACATCTGTCGAGCTTGTCGCCATCCCGGTGAGTCACTTAGGCATGTTATCTCCGGTTGTTCGGCGCTTTCTAACTCTGAGTACTTGCACAGGCACAACCTAGTAGCCAGAATTCTACACCAGGAGCTCGCTCTGAAATACGGTCTCGTGGACCGGAAATTGCCGTATTACAAGTACTTGCCGGAAGCCGTGCTCGAAAATGATCGCGCCAGGCTCTATTGGGACCGGGCCATCATCACAGACAGGACTATTCTTGCGAATAAGCCTGATATTGTGCTGATGGACCGGGCACAGTCAAGGATATTTTTGGTCGACATTACCATTCCGTATGACGATCTGAAAGCCGAAACAGACAAGCAAACAAAATATCTGGACCTGGCTCACGAGGTGACCGACATGTGGGGTGGTCTGCTGACCGAAATTATTCCTGTAGTCGTCTCTGCAAACGGGCTAATCCCAGTCAGCCTCTCGGGTCATCTAAGGCGGCTGGGACTACGTGGCGGACCGCTCCAGGTTCAAATGCAGAAGGCGGTGCTCCTCGATACCGCCCGCATCGTCCGCCGGTTTCTTTCCCTTTCCCCCTAACCCTCGGCCGTTTGGTCTCCCCTGCCGAGGGCCTCCATCTGGTTGGGCTTTTATTTATTTATGTACTTTTATATTTATTTTATGTTATTGATATTTATGTATATTTATCTTTTCATTTTCATATATAATTATATATTTATAGAACCCAACCAGATGAGAAAACTATATAGATACCCCATAATAATAATAATAAGGTCTTTATTTCCAAGAGGTTGTACATCACGATATTTGCATAACATTATTTAATAAAGCTACATTAGTACATATACTTGAAAACATAGCATCTGCAGCCGAACTAGGAGACCTGTGCATCAGCTGTCAACGCCATATCCCCACCGTTAATTTATAGAAATATTAGGATGCAAGCAAAAGTTAAATAATCAAATACTATCTAAAAATTTGTACATTCCGCTAATATAACCTAAGTACAATGAAATTAATTGTTCATATTATGTTTATATACTATGTTACCACTTATTACTAGTACCAGGGTACAAACAAAAAAATAATAATTTATACTACTAATGCCGTTCCTCTCTCATAAGATGTGTAATGTATGACTGTAAGAATTAATTGTGTTATGAGTGTAATGTGTGTGAGCAGTTATGGAAGAGGAGCGTGTAAAATGTGTGTCGTGTGTGTGTGTGTGTGTGTGTGTGTGTGTGTGTGTGTGTGTGTGTGTGTGTGTGTGTGTTTGCGCACGTGCGTGTGTATGTGTCTGGTTATTATGATTTTATACGGGTAGTATTACAGGTGACAGTTATATAAGAATTTATTTTTAAGTCCGAATACTAAGCAGGTTTTCAGTTTCATTATAAGTTAATTTTTGTAGGTAATTATGTACAGTTTTTAAGTTTTTTATAAAGGTGGTAAATGTCCAATGTTTTATTTAGTTTATTATATAAGTGTGGTCCCAAAAATGCAAAGAATTTTCTTATAAAAGTTGTTTTAAAATTGGTTGTATCTACGGAAAATTTCCTGCGTTTATTTAAGTTCGATCGGTTGTATACTAATAAGCTATGTTGTTTCTGAATGATCGTTAATATAAACAGTTGTCTTACTGTAAGGACCTGACAGTTATCATAAAGCTGTGATGTAGGATAAAGAAAAGGTTTAAATGTTGCAACTTTGAGTATAGCACGTTGAGAGATTTCTATCTTTTGTAGCACCGTTTTAGAGGCACCACCCCACGTTGATATGCAGTTTGTTATAATAGACTGACATAAAGCTAAGTAAACTCGTTTTTATATATCTGGATCCAAAACGTGTCTAATAGTTTTAAAAAGATATATTAATTTATGAAATCTTTTGCTAAGTGTGTTAATATGTTGTTTAAAATTTAAATTACTATCTATTATAACCCCTAGATATTTAATATATTCAACAGGCTCAAGTGAAAGGCAGGAACAGCTGTTATCCCTTGTTAAACAATCATATGAATGAATCACTAAGTTAAAATTTTCAAGGTTGCGGATAGGTTTTCTTAATGAATAAACTATATATTTTGTTTTCGTAATATTGATTGAAAGTTTATTACTGTAAAGCCAATTGGTAACTGCATTTATACCTAATTGTGCAGACGAGAATACATCTTTCCACGTATCCGCAGCGAATATCAAAACAGTGTCATCTGCATATGACATTATATGTCCCTGAGAGTGATTAAATTTTGTAAAATTATCAATATAAATAAGAAATAAGGTTGGGCCGAGTATACTCCCTTGTGGTACGCCGTGTGTTACTAGTGAATCATTGCTGGTAATATTATTTACACAAACGCATTGATATCTCTCAGAAAGGTAACTTTTGAATAGTTGAGTGCCTCTGATACCGACATTTTCCAGTCTTTTTAATAGTATTTTTATTGACACGGTATCGAATGCTTTCGCCAAATCTAAGAAAACAGAAATACACTTTTTTTCACTGTCTAAATACGATGACAAAAAATTTGTAAGAGTATGAACGGCATGCTCTGTTGAATTGCCATGTCTAAAACCAAACTGCGTATTTGACAATAAATTATTTTTCTCCAGATATTTTGTAAGTCTATTATTTATAATTTTCTCTAAAATTTTGGATAAAGCGGGTAATATAGAGATAGGTCTATAATTACTCAAGCAGGTTTTTTCCCCATCTTTAAAAATAGGTCGAATTACGGACTTCTTAAGATATCTAGGGAATACACCACCATTTAAACATTGATTGAATATACAAGTTAAAGGAGGTATTAACAAATATTTAAAATTTTTAATAAATTTATTCGAAATTCCATCCCAACCAACTGAACAGTCGGTTTTCATATTGTCAATTAATTGTTCTACTTCCCTTTCATCCGTGTCCAATAAAGCAAATGAATTTAAGTAATAATTTGATTCTCCACCAATGTTAATATTAAAACTTTCGCTGTTTTTATTTCCTACCTTAAAACTCTTTGCCAAACTTTTACCTACATTTACAAAATAATTATTAATAAGGTTAACAGTATGGACTTGCATGGCGTATATGCGATATATAACATTAACTGTTCACTGTATATACATCTTTCTTATTTCATGCGACTCACGTATAATATGAGGGTAAATTGACTTCCCATTGCTTCGTATTGCATTATTTTTAGCCATATGCACTCGTCTTTTTCATAATTTCTCTTTACTCTTTTTTAACAATGCGTTAAAGTATTACGATATCGTCGGTATATAATTTGATCACTTTCACTATCTGGAAATCGCCTAGCCCTCTCATGTAGTTTATCACGGTGACGAATACATCTAAGAAGACCAGTCGTAATCCAAGATTTAATGATCTTTTTTTTGTCTTGGCAACTTCACTAATTTAGTATTAACTTCAATTACTGTTTTTATTTTATTAACTAAGTACTCAAGAGAAGTATTTGGATCATTAATATTATATATAGGTAAAAAGTCAATGTTTTGCATATCCGAATTAAGTTTATCGTGATCTTTTTTCCTGATAGTAGTTGTATAAAACTGTTGACGTTGTTTATTTTTCATACATAAAATTACAGGTTTGTGATCAGTGATTGAAGTTTGAGGAACCATAGTAAGTGAAGGATTATTCGTTTTTAGCAGAACATGATCAATACACGAACCACTTGCGTCACGTGTTACTAGAGTATGAGTGGGTAATAACCCATGGAGTGCTGTCAGTTGTAAATACTTATCCGAATTAATATCTGTCTTATTGTTAATGTTAATATTTATATCTCCTATTATAATTATGTTTTTATGTTTCGAATATTTCTGTAGTACACTATCCAAGAAGACAAAAAAGTTTTCTACATTTTTATATGACGATGACCTATATATTGAGATTATAACAATATCATTCAACGTTGTTATGATACAATTCCCTTCTTGAAAATGAAGCTCCTCAGTCGTGAACAAATGTTTTTCTTTTACATATATTACTAATTCGTCATTTTGGTTGTTATTAAAATTAGTGGAGCATAAATTATAACCAGTAATTTTAGGTAAGTTGTCCTTATTAAGCAATCAGCATTCACTTAGTACAATGACATCGAAATCTATTTTTAATATAGTCAGTAATACTTCAAAATCTGTAAAATTGCAGTTAATACTTCGTATATTCTGCGTAATAATTGTGAAGTTGGATTCACTAGATGACAAATACTTATAACAATCTTCAACATCACAGGTTATCGATCTTGATACCGTAAATTTATCTAAGTTAATAGTGAAGTTATTATCGCCTTTTATTTATTACTTTAAATTTCTCTAACAAAGTCTCGTTATTGACCAAATAATATCTTTTATTCGATAAATTGATTGAAAAATGTAACTGTTAGTAGTATATATAAAATGAGTGAATATGATTTATTATAAAATGTAAGTGTGGTTTAAAAGATGTAATTAAGGTGGATAATGTTTGATTTTTGTTTATGTACTGTGTGTAAATTGTGACTATGTGTATTATAATGTAGAGTGTTAGAATATACTTTGTTCTTATTATGCTAGTTAAAAATAAAAGAAAGGATGCGAAAATATCTAATCTAAAAGTTAAAACTAGTCATTCGGTCTTCCGTAGATTTTCTAGATCTGTTTCATTATTTATTCTAATTTGAGAAGAATTTTCATTCTTGCGTAAGCATACAATGCCTCTAGATGTCCAGCAGAATAAATATTTATGACTTTTATGAAAAATTCTGGCCTGATAGAAAATTTCTGTATATACATTGAGTATTTTGTGTTAACGTCTCCGTGACATATATAGGGATGTTTTTTTGTGAGTAATTTAGATGCGAAGTATTTAATTTCTCATTTTTTGGTTTTGTTTTATTAATTTTTTGTACTTCATGTAACATCTTTTCTTTAATAATGACTGAATTAAATTCCACTATTATCGGTCTAGTCCCCGTCTTAAAATTAGTTCTATACACGTCTTTTATGTCCGAATCCTGCAAATTTACATTCAAACACTCCCTTAATTTTTTAACAGTGCTACATAGATTTTCTTTTGATTCTTCATTGTTTTTAGGTATGTTTCTTATTTCTATTCCCGAAAATCTGGACTTCCTTTCCATATTTTCTATTTTCTCCTGTAGTTGTTGTATAATATATCTATCCTGCCTTTTCTCTGCCTCTAGAACGGATATCCGTGATAGAAACTCATCATACTTGCTTGACATAGTATCGACGCTCTTTTTTAATTCATCGTTCTGTTCTTTTATACTAGAAACTATAGTTTGTAAATCTTTGAAATGCTTTGCTTGTTCATTCGTATAAACTGAAAACATTTCACTCATATAAGACATAATGTTAGGATTCACTCCGTCATGTTTCTTTTTTTTACGCTCAGTAACATTTAACGTAAGCGATGGAATATCAGGCGCCGATTCACTGTGAAGTTTTGTCGTCCGTTCTATCGCGTCGAGTGTGCGCGTCCGCGATGTCTGCGATTGCGATGTATCATCAGAGCGCACAGGCACAGGCGAAGCGGGCGGCGGGGTACGGTTGATCGGCATTGTATAATCGGTTTTGAAGTAAAAGACGCCTCAACGTTTAATTACCAGGACAATATGAGTTAGAAAGTGTGATCGCAGTATATTTGCGAACTCGTACCCCTAATGCAACCGTACAAGTAAAATATAATCGTCTCTCTTCTTATCGTTTTACTAACGTGTGGTGTCTTATGCTGTGTCCTATTTATTTGTTGATTGTAAATGTGATGGTTTTACTCACACATATAATTTAGTTTGTTGAAAATTAATCACTGCCGCAGATGTCATTAGCACTTCGTAAACTGCCTCGGGCTTTATGCACTCCTAATATTTTATCACTATTTTGTCACAGCATTTATTAGAAAATACAAGTAATAAAATAAACTATAAACACGTCTTTACTCTTTGGAAGTCCGGGGGGAAGGAATATAAAATAAAATGAATGTTAAAATGTATGAACAAAACTTAATGATGTATGTATGTTATTCTATTTTAATTGTTGTGTCTTACACGATATTTTCGCCAATTGTTTTTTGATGATTATTATTTTATTAAATAGGTTACTGTGGGAGTGGTTCATTACCGTGTGGTGGTTGTATATAAATATTCCCCACATCATCCCGTGGGTATCGTAAGAAGCGACGGAGGGAAACAAATCATTAGATTAATATCAGCGTCTTACTAATAAAGACTAAAAATAAAAAAAACTGGGGTTACCAACCTGCTTCCCTCGCGTGGCAACTATAGCAATTATCCCCCTATGAGCTCTCTCCAATCTATGGGGAGGCCTATGTTCAGCAGTGGGCTTTGATCGCTTGTTACAGTAGCGGTAAGGTTGCCTTACACATGAAAGAAACACTTTAAAAATAACTTTAAAAAAAAACTTTATACTTATAAATAGTAAAAATTTGAATATATCGTGACGATCCATTGTACAATTATGTATGCATATGTATTTATGTACGTATGTGTGTATGCAACATTTATGAAATTGCCATTCTCCTTTAAATTACGAATTAATATTATATTAATGTTATTGGTCATTTGTTACTGTTTGGTTATATGTATTAAGCTATTTTTTTTGCATGTTAGGAAGTAAAAGAGTGTCTTTTTCTGCCAACAAACTGCTGAGCAGTTTGACAGACTATAAAATTGTAACTTTGTGAATTTTATTATGCGAAAATTTATCGACCAAATTAGCGATTTATTAAAAACGGGCCAAATTACGAGTAACCTTAACCGACGAGCATGTACGCGTAGGTATATGGATGTGAAGGAGGCGAGAGAGGTGTGTCAGGATCGTGCCAAATGGAAGTCTGTAGTCTCTGCCTACCCCTCTGGGTGACAGGCGTGAGTGTTTATGTTGTTAAATAAAAAAAATTATCGGTATGTGTTAAAAATATATTAGAAATTCTACGTACTTAAATTAATAATGATGATTGTTTACTATAGTACGTGTATATACCTACCTTACCACCTAGTTTAATTAGTTAGTTTAGATAACAAACTCATTTAGTATTCTTTTACCTATTTTTACTTCATTTAGAAAAGGTTAGTGGAAATTCGTTAACTAAAGAGGGAATCAGATATGTAGGTATGTGCGCTAGCCGTAAATATTTTTGTAAGTTGGTGGCTTAAATGTATGTAAGCAGTTCATCTTACGTAGGTTATATGTATGTCTTTTAAGATTTTTAGTTTCATTTTATAAATAAAAAGTTTCATTGGTTCTATCATAGCTACGCGGTCCATAGTTTTTTATTAAATTTGATAAAACCAAATATAACAGTCTCAAAGTTTGGTAAGGAATTTTGCACTTTTTTATACACGTATGTATACCTATTATATTTTATATACCTATTATATTGTAGTGTAGACGTAACGCAAATAATTACTAGTTAACAAAATTGAACTTTTTTATACCCCAAAATAAATGTATATAAATATGTTAATCTACCTTCCTTATACCCAAGTGTTAGCAGAAATATTATATCACATCCCCATTTCCTCCTGCAGTCAAATGTTTTTTTAATTAATTAAGTTGGTGACGACAGTTTATTGTTTATTTGTTCGCTTCAAACGACAATTATCTTGTTTCTGATTGATTTAAAATACGGAGTAGAAAGTGTAACCAAAGTTCTGATCGTTTTGGTTATGTTTGTGGACAGCTTATATTTTCAAAAAAGAGAAGACCCGTGGTAGATTCGTTAACAGGCATATCTTCATTATTTGGATTTTCTGTTGCAAATAAAGATAGAAAGTGGGTGCCTCACGTGTTTTGCGAAAGGTATAGGAATCGTCTTATTCCAGTGGTCATCAGGAGATAACGTTCACCTTCCATTTGGTTCACCAATGCTATGGTATGTTATTGGGATTGCAGGGTGGTTACACAAAATACTGATGTTTCCTTTGTTCGTGGGACAGTAGACCGATACAACACCATTATGTAAGAAATAAATGGCCTATTTGGAATGGGTGTATTCCGGGAAAAATGAACATTAAATACGAGCTGTTGGTAGATCCTAATAATATCACTCTACTCCCTTTACACAATGAATTGGGGTTCATGAAAAATTTTGTGAAGGCGCTTGACAAAAACTGAAAGAGAGTATATATATTGCCCCACAAATCCGTAAAATTATGAAAGATTCTCAGTTTGAAAACCTTTTATCCGTTCATGAAAAATCTGCTTGGAACTCATTTGAAATGGTTGTGGAAAATTTTTTGGGAAATAAAAAAGTGAATATTACAAAGAAATTGTTACTGATTTATTGGAAAATTCTCAAAAGATGGGAATGATTCATGTCATTAAAGATTCATTTGCGTGAAGAACGAGGGGAACGTTTTCACCAAGATTTAAATGTTTTCGAAGAACAACATCAAGGATTTTGGGATGAAAACATGTTTGGGGATTACTGGGTCCATTATAAGAGAAACCAATTCCAAAAAAGAAACTTTTTTAACAATAATACCAAATTTATGTATTTTAGTTAAGTTAATAAAAATTTCTTAAAGCAGACTTATTACATTTAGGTAGGATTATTCTGGATAATTCTACCTAAATGAATAACAAAATAACAACTTTCAGCTGGGGTATGAAAACCGTGTATACTTGTGTATTATTTATTTTTGTCAAATAATTATTTGCTTATCTCCGCATATTAACTACGTCTTATTAACCGTCTGGGTAATTTCCACCCTCTTATATGTTTCTGATCAGACAGCAGTGCCCGTAGTAGATTAGCTACTTAAATAATGGTTATGTTATATTCGTTCTTAAAGAGTGGTTCTTAAAGAATGGAAAGGTCTGGTTTGGCATAGAGCACTTTCTATGGTTTTTCATAATGATTATGCATGTGGATCACCAGTTTTCTTGCAGATCGGAGCATTGAGGTCATGTTTGACGATTTCAATTTGCAATAAATATTATATTTAGTCGTCATCGCTTCGTAAAAATTCACTGCTGAACACTGGCCTTTACGGTTGTGAGCTGCTGCTGCCTGTTCAGGTTTGGGTGATTAACGTGTGGCGTAAATGACGTGGTAACCTTATAATGATCTATATAAATCCAACAGATCTTTCTAGCATTTGTTGACACCCATGGGACGAAATAGAATAATGAATCTTCTGACTTCTTCATTACACGATGAAAGTCACATATAATTTTAAGAAATACGTCGAATAACATATTATAAGTAAGTGAATCGTTACGAATGTGGTGGCTAATAGCCATCTTAGATTCCTTGTCTCTTTAAATTTTCATCTAAAATAAACACATTATAAGTACTACTTAGTGTGATATTTAAATTTAAGTCTGACAAATTAAAATATCCACTAATCCATATTGTCCCGAGGGTGTCGTAAGAGACGAGATAGCAAAACTTAATCTTTCTTGTGTATACAATGTACTCTGTGACTTAAGCAGGAGATTGACAGTAGCATATTCGTGATAACATATTAAAATTATAAAACGGTTGTTGCCAAACCGTCAACCGTCAAGCGTGGCAACTATGGCCAAACACCCATCTGATCGTTCTTGAAATCTTTTGTTGCCTATTTTCAGTAGTTGACTTTCAAACTACTAAGATAATTTAATGGAGTGTATATGGCATGATCGGTGAAGCGAAAACAATATGTCTTAATAGCTGTGACCCAGACCCTTAAGTGTCCTTTTATGATCGTACAATAAATGGAACGCAGAGTTCCGCACATAAATTATTCCATTGGCCTATTTAAACATTGTGAACGAGTGCATGCTAGCGTAGAGCTCGTAAAAGCACACTAGCACACTTGTGGCGTGGGATCAATGTCAACGTTCTCAGTTTTTAATTATAGTATAAGATAAACTCTCACATGATGTAAAAAAAAAATTATATTATTTGACCAACCTTAACCCGGTATGCGAATCCACTATCTCCTTCTAGTATTTCAATTAGCATGCTACATAAAATATTTACGGCATATTTAATATACCTTTATTTGTCTTAAATCGATGAAACCCGTCTAGAAAAAGTGTTTGCTTTAGACATAAACGTTTTAGAAAAGTTTTACAACGGAGGATTTTGAGTAATAAATTCTTATTCAAAATTACCACGCTATTTATTATACATTTGAACGTAATATTTGACCTATTTACGAATTAAAATAAAATGTGGTATTATTAGTATTGGGGAAATACTGTTACGGTTATTAGGTGATGCAGGTGATTTTTTACTCGTCTATGCCATCGCGTCGTGTAGGGTGTTGTTGAATACGCCTTTCAAAATTATTGGGGGTTTTTATTAGGGTCATGTGTGGGTGACACATGACTCTCTACCAACTAAATCTCTGTTTTGGAAATGCGAAAAGTAAGCATGATAGTTGTATAAATAATGAAGTTAAAAGAAAAAGTATTACAGCTAAGTATGCATGATAACGTAACATAGTCGAACAACTTATAAAATGTACTTGATTAATAAACATTTCGAACAACTCCATAGAAAATGACCCAAAACTTATTATTCATTATAAGTTTGTAATGTTATTTT